TGCTGCTGCTGCTGCTGCTGCTGCTGCTGCTGCAGCAGCCGCAGCCCCGAAAGCGAACGCCCGCAGCAGCAGCAGCAGCAGCAGCAGCAGCAGCAGCAGGTTTGTGTGTGCGTGCAGCTTATTTTGGCTTTGGGGGATTTAATGCTTATGCCACCAGCAAAGCAGCACTTCTGTCCTTCACCAATTTGCTGCGCCGTAAGATTTATCTTATTTTTGTTTTTTATTTTTAATTTTTATATTTTAGTTTTTAATTTTTTATTTTGCCTTTTTCTTTTTTCTTTTTCGTTTTATCTTTTCGTAATTCTTTCTTCTTTTTATTTCTTTTTTGTTTATTTTTTGTTTATTTTATTTGTCTTTTGTTTCCTTTTTGTTTCTTTTTTATTTCCTTTTTTGCCTTTTTTGCTTTTTGCTTTCTATCTTTTTTAATTCTTTTGATCTTTTTAGATTCCATTTATCTCTTTAATCTTTTTTGTTTTTTGATTTCTTTTTTGTTTTTATTTTTTTTTGTTTTTAAATCCTCTTTGTCTCTTCGAATTTATTTTTTATTTCATTTATCTCTTTTAAATGTACTTATGGTTTAAAGTACTTGTTATTTAATTTCATTTCTGTTTTTAAATATATTTAATTCTTTTATTTTCTTTTTGAATTCTTTTTTGTTTTTTAAATTCCTTTTTGTTTCTTTAAATCCCCCTTTGATCTTTTTTTGAAATTGATTTATTTGTTAAATTCTCCATTTGTCGCTTCGCGAATTTTATTTCTTTCTCTTTTTTCTGCTGCTGTCCCCCGCTGCCCTCTGCTGCTGCTGCTACTGCTGCTGCACTGCTGCTGCTGTTGCTGCTTGTGTCACTGCTGCTGCTCCTGCTGTTGTTGTTGCTGCTGCTGCTGCCACAACTCCCGCTGCCGCTGCTGCCACTGCTGCTGCTGCTGCCATTGCTGCTGCTGCTGCTGCTGCCATTGCTGCTGCCACTGCTGCTGCTGCCATTGCTGCTGCTGCTGCTGCTACTGCTGCTGCTGCTGGCAGAGGACCTGCGTGGCTGCGGGTCTCCGGGGGTTTTGGTGACTTCGCTGCATCCGGGATATATCAAAACCAAAATTTTGCAAAACATCGCCGACGGCTCTCTTGCTGCTGACTGCTCCCGAGAAGCTGCCGTCCAGTGGCAGCAGCAAGGTGCTTTGCTGCTGCTGCTGCTGCTGCTGCTTTTGCTGCTGCTGCTGCTGCTGAAAGACCCAAAAATGACACTTTCACGAACATTCTACGCCAGATGCTGCTGCTGCTGCTGCTGCTAAGCAGGCGCTGCTGCTGCTGCTCAGCCAAAATGACGCTTGACGAGAAGTTTAATCCCTCAACCAATTCACAACAAATGAATAAATAAATAAATAAATAAATAGCCAATTAAATAATTATATGATTCTGAATGACTGGCTGTCGTGTTTGCGCGCACTGTACTGCTGCTGCGGCTGCTGCTGCTGCTGCTGCTGCTGCTGCTGCAGGGGTTCCTGTGGACGTGGCAGCAGCTGCGTTGCTGCGAGGAGTGTCTCGAGACCTGGAGGAAGTGTGGGTGGCAGTTCCTGAAGGATTATTTCAAATGTATTTTAGTTTTTATTTTCCGGAGTTGCTGCTGCTGCTGCGGCGCTACACAGCCAAGAAGGAGTGCGCCCACTCCACGCGCTACAGAAACACCGTCCTCGCCCAGCTCGCCCCCAGCAGCAGCAGCGGCAGCAGCAGCAGCAGCAGCAGCAGCA